ATTCTCTGTATAACTTAAAACATTTTTTTTCACATTTATTTATTATTGAGAGACAGAGCACGAGTGAGGAAGGGGCAGAGAGAGAAGGAGACACAGAATCTGAAGCAGGCTCCCGGCTATGAGCTGCCAGCACGGAGCCCGATGTGGGGCCTGAACCCCCGAACCGTGAGATTTTGACCTGAGCTGAAGTTGGATGCTCAACTGACTAAGCCACCCAGGTGCCCTTTCCCTGTAAAGCTTTTGAACTTAACTACTACAGAGTACTCTTATCATGATGAACAAAAATAAAATGATAAAAAGAAAACTTAACTGCTCATCATCTATGTTGCCTTACCAATACCGATAACAGTCAGTTAACACATACTTTGTTATATATATTACATACTGTATTCTCACAATAAAGTAAGCTAAGAAAAGAAAATGTTATTAAGAAAATCATAAGGAACCAGTAATACATTCATAGGACTGTACTGTATTTATTTTAAAAAATTTGCATGTAAGTGGACTTGCACAGTTCAAATCCCTACTGTTCAAGGGGTCAACGGTAACGACAACGAACATTTGTAGAGCGTTTAGTTTCTGCCAGATGCTGCTCTAAATACTTCACACACATTAATCCACTCAGTGAATTATCATAGCACTCCATGTGTCCATACTATCAGTACCCTATTTTATTTTATTTTTAAAATTTTTAATGTTTTATTTGTTTCTGAGAGAGAGAGCGTGAGCAGCGGAGGGTCAGAGAGAGAGGGAGACACAGAATGTGAAATAGGCTCCAGGCTCCGAGCTGTCAGCACAGAGCCCGACGCGGGGCTCGAACTCACAAACCATGAGGTCATGACCTGAGTGAAGTCAGACGCTTAACCGACTGAGCCACCCAGGTGCCCCTCAGTACCCTGTTTTAGAGCGGAAGGACCCTGGCTCGGTACCACACGCTGGTACCCTGCAGAACTTGGGAGTTCACCTAGCCTGACTTCAGGGTTACTGATTTCAACACCTATGTTATAAAAGAAACAACGGGAATAATAAAAAGAGCGCCCAGCCTTTTTGGACCCACCTGATGTGTCCAGGAATCATTCCATTTAGTCCCCCTGAGAGCCCCTTGAGGGGATCTCTCTTGCTAGGATCCCAGTTCACAGGTAAGGAAACTGAGGTACAGGAAGTCTAGCGCCCTACCCAAATCATGGGGTGTGTGGGATGCAGCCGGGCCTGAATGCAGCCCAGGTCCAGGGCTCTCGGCCCCTCCACGGCACTGGCAAGTTCTTATAAGACACTCTCAAGATGTTTTCTTCTTTTCTTTTTAATCTTTGGGGCCGTTTCTGTGAATACCAGTGCTTCAGCAGAAGCAAAAAGAAATAACAACAACAAAAATCAAAGCCATAAGAAACACATTTCAGTTATAAAAACTCTTGGGTGAACTTACAAAAGGAAAATAAACAACCAAGCAAAGGCTGAATGAGCGCCGTGAACTTTTCTCTCTTAGGTTTATTATACGTTCAGCGGAGGGGCAGTGTTATCCAAACAGATACGGATCTCAGACCAGAGCCTTGAAGGGTGATGACCCCGCTGAGGTTTCTGGAAGTTTATGAGAATAGGTAGAGGTCCCCAGCGGGAGGCATCCAGCTTATCTAAAGCTTGCTCTGTGACCCCACACAAGCCATTCTGTGGTAGTGCCTCAGTTTACTCATCTGTAAAATGATGGGGTGGTCCCTGCTTGCGTTCTAAACTTTTGCTTCAATGAAATTATGATTTTAATTCCTAGAGAGGAATTAAAGCTCATCCCAGCTTCTCCACACAGAGGTGAGTGTTTTCAAACCCCTTCTTTGTTCCCTTCCTCGTCAGAGAAACTAAGCTCAACTGACATCTTCCATTCTGAAACGCACACGGAGTAGTTTCAGAGTTTATTTCTCCTCTGGAACAACTTGGAAAAAAAAGTTAATAGGAAGCACATGGGCAGGGTGTGTGAGTGCTCTGTGTGTTTTTGTCTGAAAAAAATACTTTTCGGAGGACTGTGTCAGGCTTGCAGAATGCCTGCGCTGTCTCAAGAGCAGTTTATGGCCATTAGCATGAGACTGAAGGCAGTTAATTGGGACAAAGTCCAGCTGCTGCCACAGCCCTTCTGGAATCTGGGCCACAAGGATGGTAAGAAAATAACCTGGATTATTCCCATGGTCGGGCAGGAATAGAGCAGGAGATGTTTTTCGGCTTGTGAAGGGCTGGTGGGGATTGAGGTGGGGAGGTGGGGTGTAGGCAAGAGCTCACCCACGGAGAATTGTCTTCTAGAGGGTTCTACGAGAGTAGGGAGGGCAGAATGGTGTGGGGGTTGCATGCCCGGGCTCTGCAGTGAAACTGCCTGGCTTTGAATCCCACCGCCATAGCCACGTGACCTTGCGCAAGCTACTTGCCCAATTTGTGCCTCAGCTTCTCCGCCTGTAAGATGGGGATAACGATAGAACACAGGTCACAGGACTATTGAGAGTATTAAGGGGGATGGTGTAGGGTGTACACACAGCTTAGGATGCTGTTCTGACTCCTGATGGAGTCCAGGAAATAGCACTTGGAAGAAACAGCGCAGGCTTCGGAATTCTAGAAACCTGAGTCTGAACGCCAGCTCTGAATACTTATTGGCTGTGTGATATTGGGTAAATCACTTCCCCTCTCTGGGCCTTGCTTTCACCATGTGTAAAGCCGAGGCGACAGTGCCCTCCTCATGAGGCTGCCATAAGGACCAGAGAAGAAATAACATATTCTATATGCCCTGGTTTGGGGGGGGTGGGTTCCCGCTTCGCATTCCAATCTCATCCCCCTTGCTCACTGCCCCCAGATTCATGATTCTCCTTTGGGAGAGCCTCCAACAGCTGCTCATGATGCCTTTTCATCACCCAAGTCTCCCTAACCACCTGGGTAATGTCAACTGCTACTCCCCTCATCACTGCCATTGCATTGCCCCGTCTCTGTCTTTCACAAGGGCTGTCAGTCTGTAATCATCTGTTTATTTGTTAACTGATTATTTTCTGTCTCTGTGAGGGACTGTCACTGTTGATAGCCATGCCTCCAGTGCCTACAAGGGTGCCAGGCCTAGAAGTCATACTCAGTCATACACAGAGGAATAATGACGGATGGAGAGCCGCTCCTAATGTAACTGACTCCACTCATTACTCTGCAGGGGTGGGGGAGGATGTCAGAATGGAGGAGCGGGGACTGAGTTTGCTGTTCAACCTCCACGGCCTTAGAAGTCCTGAGGCAGGAAGTCTCATCTCTATTTGCAGAGCTAGTAGACACTGACCCACTTGAGAGTGACCCAAATGCAAGTTCAAGTTCAGGGTCTTCACAAGCCTTTATGATCAGGATTGGTGCTGTAATTTCAGTTCCCACTTGAAGATGGGTCCCAGGGGCTCGCACCCTTCAGTAAGACCCAGAAAGGCTACCGTGAGGGGCCAGAGGTGACAGCAGAAGGAAGGAGCAAGGGTCTGGGGTGAGGCTGGGGGATGGGATCCTGCCACATCTCTAAGAGATTCGACGCAGTCTGTTTCATTGCACTTGCAGTAAAATCTAAACTCCTTGCCTTGATGTTGGGCAAAACAGTCTATCCCTCCATGCCTCAATTTCCTCACCTAGAAAATAGGCGTAATACCAGCACCAACTCTTTGCCACGAAGACTGTAGAAGATGATCCGCATAACATCATGTGGCACGTGGCAAGTGTTTGGTCAATGTTAGCTGATGGTGTCGCCAACGAGCTCTGATACAGACCTTTACATGGAGGATTTTCGAAGGGGCTGGTCAGCCCTTTTCTCTACACATACCCCTAAGATCATTTGCTGTCCCTTCACCATGTTTTTCTCTGAAAGGCTGCCCTCGAGATCCATTCTTACTGTTTCCTTAACAAGAAATTTTAAAAGACAAAGTGACAATACTTGCAAGTAGTTTTTTTTTTTTTTAAGAAAAGTATAATCACTCATTAACCCATGGACTTCTCATTACTACTTTATTCTTGCATATTACTTTTCAGATTCCTGATGGTCATTTTTACTAGATTTCATGAAGCAAAAAAAAAAAAAATACTAGTATGTGGATACTCCAAATTACCGCCACCAGCCCTCTACCCCATGCATCAGCCCCGATATGCTCTCAAGGGACTCTAAGAAGAGAAGGGGCCCTAGGGGGGGTCAAAGAGTGGGCACAGAAGAATTCAGTAATCCAGTTGTTTACCGTATGTGGGGTGGGAGTTAAACACTGGAGTCTTCTTCCCTTTCTAAGGCACCATAGGGTGATGTAGAGCCCTGAACCTCCTGCTTGGAGCACTAGCTTCTTCACTCGCCCCTCCAAACTCCCACCACCTGGCACGTCTATGTCCACAATGGACTTGCCTGTCCCATCACACTTATGAAAGCCAACTCCTACCCACCGTCCTCAGGACCCTACATGATTTGGCTCTGCTCTCCCTCCAAGACTCTCTCCTCCCACATCCCTTGACCCTGCTCCAGCCTTGCTGGTCTCTGTTCTGTGCCTCAAACATATTAAGACATTTCCCCACATCCAGCTTTTGCACTGGCTGTTCCCTCTACCTGGAATGCTCTTCCTCCAGGTCTGTACATGGCTGGCTCCTAACTCTTTGGGTCTCCGTCCGGTGTCATCTCTTCAGTCTTTCCTGATGACTCTATCTACAGTTGCATATTATCACCATTCCCGACCCTCAAACTGCTCATCACTTTCTACGCAAACCCACGTTTTATTTGCTTCACGGCACTCAACCTCTTCCAAAATTAGCTGGTTTATTTGTTGCCTTGTTTACTGTCAATCTCTCCCTCCTGCCATGTAATCGCCCTAAGGGCAGATCTCCTATCTATTCTCTTCTGTCCACCTCTCTAACTCCTGGAAATAGATGCTGGCACATAGTAGGTGCTCAGTAAACTGGCAAGTAAATGAATGAATGACTGGACACCTAAGTCCGGCAGTGCCTTCGAGGTAGACAGGAAGGGGCCGCAGCGCCACACTCACCGTGCATCTGGTAGGCATATGGGCTCTGTCCAGTGGGTGGGGTGCTGAAGCTGGAGCCGTAGCTGAGGAATCCACTCTGGTTGGGGGAATGGTTCAAGCTGTCTTCTGTCTTGATGCCTTGGAAGGAGGGAAAAGAAGCACCGGGGACATGATTAGGATGCTTTCTGGTCACCTGCAGAAGAGCTTCTGAATCAAGAGAGTGCACAATTTTATCAGCTTCCAAATCAGGAGCTGCAAGCCCGTGGGTTGGGAGGCAATGTTTGCCTATAGACATATTTTGCTTGGCCTGCATGTTTTTAAGGAAAATCTGAAATTACTTCCTTTGTTTAAAAACCAGGAGATTTCACCGAATACTCTGGACTTATGGCTTCACTTGAGCAACAAGATGGTCTAGCGACACCATGCCTGCATTCCCATGTGGTGATACAGACTGTCCCCATAGGCTCCCCAGGTCACTATAGAAGCTGCACTGTATCTGAAACATAAATGCCGGTTTTAAGGTGCCACCTTTTCCTTACAGTCGTACTTTCTTTTTTTTACATGCTAGGTGTGGTCAATGTCCATCAGGATTTGGGGTGAATGTGTTAAATGAACCATCCTTCCTCTGTAAAGATGTTGCCACTTAATCTTAGGACACACTCTCCACTCTTCTTGTGGGAGGAACCCACTTCTCCAAAGGCTACAGTTACAAATGTGCCCTTTGCTGCAGCCAAAGTCTGACATGCTTCCCCAGGGCACAGGCACTGATTCTCTGAGCAACTGGCTGGAGAAGGGGCTATGTTGAGGGAAGGGGCCCAATCCACCATCAGTAGCCCACATATTGTATTTTTATTGAAAACGTAATATACTCTGCTTATCTTTGTCTACCTAACAGGTGTAAAATAGTATCTCCATACTGTTTGTATTTACATCTCTTTATTTTATTTTTAAATGTATTTATTTTTGAGACAGAGAGAGAGAAAGAGAGAGAGAGAGAGAGAATGCACATAAGCAGGGGGAGGGGCAGAGAGGGAGAGAGAGAATCCCAAGCAGGCTCTGCGCAGAGCCTGATGCAGGCTTGATCTCATAAACTGTGAGATCATGATGTGAGCTGAAATCAAGAGTTGGACCCTTAACTGACTGAGTAACCCAGGCGCCCCTTTTTTATATCTCTTTAAAGGATATTTCTAGTTCTGGCTCCAGTTTTGTAACTGCAGTTCCTTCCTTTTCACCCATTCAGTTTGGTGAAAGAAGACAATGCTTCCAAACCATGCGGCAGCAAAGGAAAGGAGGAGCGGCCCTGCCTTCTACCCCCAGAAGGCCCGCCCCAGCACCGAGGCTGGTCCACTGTTCTCTCTTGAGCAACACACAAGACATCAAAGGATTCCGTAAGATAAGTCTATTCTGTGCTCAGAGTATTGAGTTCTTTCTCCCGGTTCCTGAGATTCTCACCATCAGATGCCAACAGGTTCCCTTCCTGTTTGGGAAGACTTCTCTTCTTTGTTAAGAAATTCAGATACTCTTGTGTAGACTGAAAACCATAACCAGGTTCTCTTGTCAGGAGGCAGAGTCTATTTTCATACTTCTAGATGCTCCACTGACCTTGTGACTTGTTTGGACTGGTAGAAGTGGCTGAGTGATGGGAGATCTAGAGACTGGGTGTCAAGTGGCTTTGAAGCTCCTACCTCTGCCCTCCTCTTTTGTTTTTCTTAAGCCCATTTATTTATTTTGAGAGAGAGAGAGCATAAGTGGAGGAGATGCAGAGAGAAAGAGAGGGAGAGAGAATCCTAAGCAGGTTCTGCGCTGTCAGCATAAGCCCAATGTGGGGCTTCATTTCACAAACCCTGAGATCATGACCGGAGCTGAAATCAAGAGTGGGATGTTTAATCGATTGAGCCACTCAGGCGCCCCACCCTCTGCCCTCTTGGAAACCTGAGGCCAGCATGCTGTGAGCAAGCACAAGATTAAAGGCCAGGTGGACAGAGAGGCTCAGCTATGCCAGCTGACCTGCCGGCCAAATACAGCTGCATGACAGACACCAGGGAGACCAGGGGACAGTCTACCCAGTCAACCCACAGCCGCACCAGAAATAATATATCGGTGTTATTTCAAGCGGTTAAGTTTGGGATATAATAGATAAATGAGGGGAGGCCTGGGTGACTCAGCTGGTTAAGTGTCTGACTCGATTTTGGCTCAGGTCATGATCTCATGGTTGTGAGATCCAGCCCTGTGTCAGGCTCCATCCTGGGTGTCGAGCCTGCTTAAGATTCTCTCTGTCTCTGTCTCTCCCTCTGCCCATCCCCCTCTCAAAAATAATAAATAAGTACACAAATAGTTTAAAAAATAGATAAATGAGTTGTGGTACAGTCAAATAATGGAATATGGAATATTACAAAGCAGTGAAAATGAATGAACTACAGCCACATGTGTAAACAGGGATAAATTTCATATTCATAAAGGTGGGTGGAAAAAGCAAGTGTCAAAGAATAGATACTAAAAGAAACGACGTATAGAAAGTTGTAAAACAGGCAAAAGAATACATAGGCCTATGGGCCAAGTGTGACCTGATGCCCATTTTTTGTAAATAAAGTTTTATCAAAACACAGACACATCCATTCATTTATGGAGTATGGCTTCCTCTGCATTATAATGGAAGAGTTGTGGGGTTGTGATAGACACCGTATGGCCTGCAAAGCTAAAAATATTTATTATTAGGCTCTTCTAAGAAAAAGTTTGCTACCCCGATTCTACATAAAGAAATGCAGAGAAATGATAAACATCACATCCAGGGATGTGGGGATCTCTAGGAAGAAAGGGAGATGACCTTTTATATTTTTTATTTCTCAAGTTGGATTGCAGTTCATGGGTATTTGTAGTATTACTCTTCATGCCTTTACAGATGTCTTAAATGTTGCATAACAAATTGAGGAAAAACATATTCAACACCGCTAACCTCCTTCCCTCTAGTTTGCTCAAATGTGTTATTTCCTTAAAACTATTCAAACAAAAGTAAATAATGCTGTTTGCCAATGAAAAAGTCTCCTAACAAGATCCAACAAGGTTTGTCCAGACAATGAGCAAACACTGCCTGCTCAGACACAGGCGTGTGTGAAGGAAAATGGCTTTTCATCTTACCTGTCATTGTTCAGTGACATGAACATTCCAGGTGTGTGTGGCAGCCTGGCCCTACTGTATTGATTGAGCACTTCCCTTGGGCCAGCCCTGTGGGCTAATCCCTTCACAGAGATCAAGGGTTGGCAAATCATGGTCTGTGGGCCAAATCTGGCCTACTTACTGTTTGTGTAAATAAAGCTTTATTGGAACACAGACACACCCGTTCGTTTCCATACTGTCTGGCTGCTTTCACACTATGGTGGTGGAGGTGAATGGCTGCAATAGAGACTGTAGGGTCCACAAAGCCAGGAATACCATCTGGTCCTTTACAGGAAGTGGGAGCTGACCTCTGACACAGGCAGCCCCATCAATCTTCACAGTAGCTGTGAGGAGATGAGTATCACCCCCACTGCAAGAGGGAGGAAACTGAGGAGGCTCGCTTGGTGCCTCAGGACCAGCATGTGGCCAAGGGGGGGCGGTGAGCCCAGGACATATGCTCGTATCACCTGCCACCTTTTGTCTGGAAACAGGGCGAGTTTTCTCTTCTACACTGAAAAACAACATGGCTTCATTTTCCCTGGCTGTCGGCCACATGGGGTAACTTAGGCGTGATGACACCACAAGCCTTCTAGCACAGGAGGGACAGAGAGTTGGAAACGATGCCCATACCTGTGGGCTGAGGTCTGGCACAAGTAATCCCCCAGGATGTACGGGATACAGGCTCAGGCGCTGGAGCTCCATGGTGAAGAGCCTGGGCTCCAGGGTCAGGCTGAGTGGGTCTAATGTCACCAACCAGCTGGGGGAGCCTGAGCTAGTTCTTCACCCCCAAGGACACAGAACACTGAGGACTGAGGTGCCAGCAGCTCGACAATGGTGACCATTCCCAACGCCTGGTCTGTTGGCCCAACAGGACTCATTGCTCCTACCTCCTGAGTCGCCCCGGCATCTGTCTACTTGGGTCTAGGCACTGCCCTGCCCCGGGGGGCTCCACCATCACCCTGCACACCTCCTCAGCCTCTGACCAGCCTGCCTGCCTCCTTCTTCCTTCCATCCTGTCTAAACTTCCCACGATGGCCAAAGAGATCTAGAAAAGAACCCCAGGTTGTAGTGTATAGTGCTCTGCCTAAAAACCTGCCAACGAGTTCCCATTTCACCTGGAATAAAATCCCAAATCCTTCCCAGGCCTTGGGGGCTCTGTCCACCTCGCCTACCTCACCCCTCACTGCTTTGGCTACTGGGCTCCTTGGACTCCCGAATTCCTCCCCGTGTTGGGGCCTCCCCACGGGCGGTCCCCCTGCCTGCATGTGCTCTCAGTGCTCAGGATGCTGAATCAGCTGCTGGTCTAACCGGCCTCCCGATGTGGAGCCTGGATGACGGCCTCTCTCTCTGTTCTTTCTCATGACCTACTTCTCTTCCTCGTATCACACAGCATAGTCTGAAACACGTAAAGATTTTTAAGTCTTTAAAATTTTTTTCTCCCTTGAGGCCGGAAGTTGCAAACTCAAACATCCTTGGGGGACACAGGCAAATAATTCGAGTGAGTCACATGGGCTGGGTGGGGAGCATGACAAATTTAGGCTAATGGGGACAGGCTCACTGAGAGCCACCTATTCCTGACACAAAATATGTGGGATCAGTGCTGCCCGATAATCTCTCTCTCTTTTGAAAGACATTAGAAATATATATTTTTTTTAATTTTAGAGGAAGAGTGTGAGGGGAGGCAGAAGAGTAGAGGTAGAGAGAATCTTTAAAAATTTTTTTTAGGGGCGCCTGGGTGGCTTAGTCGGTTAAGCGTCCGACTTTCGCTTAGGTCATGATCTCGCGGTTCGTGGGTTCGAGCCCCGCGTCGGGCTCTGTGCTGACTGCCAGCTCAGAGCCTGGAGCCTGTTTCAGTCTGTGACTCCCTCTCTCTCTGACCCTCCCCTGCTCACGCTGTCTCTCTCTCTCTCCTAGAAATAAATAAAACATTAAAAAAAATTTTTTTTAAGTTTATTTTTGAAAGAGGGAGAGACAGACAGACAGACAGAAAGCACAAACTGGGCAGGGGCAAGGAGAGAGGGAGACATAGAATCCAAAGCAGGCTTCAGGCTCTGAGCTGCCAGCACAGAGCCCGATGGGGGGGCTTGAACTCATGAACCGCAAGATCATGATCTGAGCTGAAGTCAGATACTTAAGTGACTGAGCCACGCAGGTGCCCTGAGAGAGAGAATCTTAAGCAGGCTCCATGCTGAAGACTGAGCCACCCAGGCACCCCAGAAATATAAATTTTTACATTAGCATTTCACATTTTAAATTTTATTTTTATTTTTTTAAGGTTTATTTAGTTTTGAGAGAGAGAGAGCACATGTGTGTGCATGTGCATGGCGGAGGGGCAGGCAAGGAGAGAGGGAGAGAGAATTGTAAGCAGGCTCCACCTGGCATGGAGCCAGATGTGGGGCTCAATGTCACAGCCATGAGATCATGACCTGAGCTGAAATCAAGAGTCGGACACTTAACCAGCTGAGCCCCCCCAGAGGCTCCTAAAGTTAGCAATGAATTTTTTAAACGTTAAGCATATTTTGTAGATAAAAGAGACACCCCATTACCCACTGGCCTTCACTTTTTCAGCCTCTGTTCCAGACTCTAAGCTCCACAGAGGGCCCATTCTGCTTTGCTGGCCTCTGTGTGCCTGGCACATGACCCAATGCTGAATGAACGAACGAATGAATGAATGATCACAAGAACAGAGCAAATGTAGACACAGAGAAAAGGAAGGAAAAAAAAGAAAAGATTCTGTCTCTGCTCTCAAGCCGCACCATCTAGTTGGGAAGATGAGCTGATACATTCATTTAACAGATGAGGAAACTGAGGCCTGGGAAATTCAGAGGCAGCTGGGCCCAGAAGCCAGGTCTCCTGACTACCATCCTATGTTCTTTCCACTGGACGTCTGTGGTTTCTACCTGTCCCCCCCTCCTCCCGGGACTGCCCCTTCCCCACATTCAGTTTGGTTTTCTTGGATGAACTTGACCTGACTCCTGTTTCCACAGGTGGACATGGGGCCAAAGGGGGCCATCCAGAGCATTCTATCTTCTCTGCTCCAGCGTCTGGGCTAGTGACGGCCACGGGAAGCCAGTCAGAGGAGTCCCTGGGTGGTGCGGGAAGCCCTGGGCGAGAGAAGCTCTCTTCTGGGCCCAGTTACAGCTTGGACGTGCTAGAGCTGTTTTTGACAGCACAGTGGGAGAGCCCGAGAATGAAGCTTAACCTTCCCAAGGGAAGCAGGCAGACGTGTCCCTCACATCATCACTTGAGTACCCGGATTTAGCCCCGCTTGAAGCTAACAGCCTAAGATTGTTCAGCTATGTTTGCAACAAACACCCTTATTTCCATAAGCTATTTAGCACTGGGTTTTTGTCATTTGCTACCAAAAGGGGTTTCGGTTGACACATCAGTTAAGAGGGGAAGGGCTGGCGTAAAAACACCACGGGCAGTGTGAGGGTTAATTTTATGTGTCACCCTCGCTGGGCCACAAGTTGCCCAGATCCTTGGTCAAACACCATCCTGGGTGTGTCCGTGTGAGAGGGCCTCTGAATGAGGCTAGCATGTGAATCTGTAGACTGCATAGAGCAGAGTGCCCTCCCTAATGTGGGTGGGCCTCACCCAATCAACTGAAGACCCAAACAGAACCACAAGGCTAAGGACGAGGTGACTCCCGTCGTCCGCGTGTTTCATCTGGGACATCAGTCTTTTCCCGCCTTCAGACTGGAGGTGAAAAGTCAGCCCTTCTTGAGTCTTGGGCCTGCCTGCTTTGAGACCAGAATTTACATCATCACCCCCTCTCTTTCTCAGGCCTTTAGACTCACGCTGGAATGACACCAGGGGCTTTCTTTCTTTCTTTTTTTTAATGTTTTATTTATTTCTAGAAGAGAGAGAGAGAGACAGCATGAGCAGGGGAGGGTCAGAGAGAGAGGGAGTGACAGACTCTGAAACAAGCTCCAGGCTCCGAGCTGGCAGTCAGCCCAGAGCCCGACGCGGGGCTTGAACCCACAAACCACGAGATCATGACCTGAGCAAAAGTCGGACGCTTGACCGACTAAGCCACCCAGGCGCCCCGACACCAGGGGCTTTCTTGAGTCTCCAGCTTGCCAACCGCAGATCTTGTAACCTCCTGCCCTCCATAACTGGGTGAGCCAGTTCCTATGACCTCTCTCTCTCTCAATATAGATACCTATAAAGATATATAGACAGAGATAGAGACAGATAGAGATGGAGACATAGATATCTCCATCCCATTGGTCTCTGGAGAGCCCTGACCCATACAGACAGGGGCAGGTGAGCAGTGGATGGGGGGCCAAGTTCATGGACTCTCTGGTTCGAAGCAATACGGTTCTGACAGTCACGGTCTGTAGGTCTGTTGTGTTTTCCTTCGTGGCGTCACTACTTTCCTTCGAGAGAACTATCTCTCCCTCAGATACAATCCATACGCTTCAGCCTCCTTATTTCTCTCACCTTCACCTTCCTGACTAGCTTGAAGCATTGTCACGTGACCCAATTTGAGCCAACGAGGGCCTCCAGGAATTTGCTGGGGGCCGCTGGGAAAGATGGGCTCTCCTTCCACTGGGTGTGCTGAGCTAAAAGGACCCAAACCCGGAGTGATGGGCACCATCTTTGCTGCCACATGGGAAGAACCCGTGTGGGATTAAAGCCAACTCAGAACTCTTAAATACAGGGAACAAAGTGAGGGTTGATGGTGGGTCGGGGAGAGGGGAAAGTGGGTGATGGGCACGGAGGAGGGCACTTGTTGGGATGAGCACTGGGTGTTGTATGGAAGCCAATTTGACAATAAATTATATTTAAAAAAGCCAACTCGGAGGAGCACATCCGAATCTGGAGTGAGCTTTATACCTGACATCACCTGGGCACCTGGGTCCGGCCATACCTGATGTTAGTTGTACCTCTAGATTTCTCAGTATGTGAATCACTGAAGTTCCATTTTTCCTAACCTAGCTTGGATTAAGTTTCTTACTCTTGCAATCAAAAGAGGCCTCGATAGAGACTCTTGCACCAGAACCATATTGAAATGTGTCTGTCCTTTCCCTCTATTCGCATTCCAAAATTACGCTGGCTGCATTCATCATTTTGCATTTAACGGAAGCAACAGGACAGAAGAAAGACCACACAGCTGGGGACCCCAGGGGGAAAGCGAGGGCTTGGTCTGGTACTCACTGTAAGAAGGGATTCCATAGGCTTGCGCCGGAGGAGGGTAAGCGGTGTAAGGGGCAGCTTGCTGGATCCCTGCGCTGTACTGCGTCTGGCCGTAGGCTGCCATGGCCGTGGGAGGCTGGCTGGGCAGGACACGTGGACAAGATCTGCATGGAAGAAGAGAAGATTAAATCTCCGGACCCAGCCCAGCAGCCCTTCCCCTGTACTTTGGTATCAACGTGACCGTTTTTATTATGGGTATTTACTCTTTCCAGGGCAGAGACAAGTTACATGTTCCTCAAACTCCATTTCCTTTTCCTCTTCCTGAGCACCAGGAAGGTTTTATTTCTCATCTGCCTGCAGTCAGATCCGACAATGTGACTGCATTCTGCCCCATAGAATGGATGAGCCACGCCCAGGTCTGGCCAATAAAACCGTCCCCTGGGACCCTCCTGGCTTCTCTCCTCTTTTGGCAGCAGGCTTCAGGACTGAGATGGAGACGCTACAGCATGGATGTCTCCTGGATCCCGAGTCGGCGTGTGGAGGAGAGCTGCTCTGGAGAGTTCTACAGAATCTGCACTGAACTTCGAGTGGGAAGCAGGCCTTTGCTGTGGGAAGTTGCTGGGTCCACACCACTGACAACTGCACCACAGCCTATCCGCCCTATCCTGTCTATCGTAACTTAGACACCACCCCAGTTGACTGCAGCTGTGACAGGGCTGTCAATCAAGATGCCCTGCTCTTAGCCAAGGGGTGGGCTCATGACGGAATCCATCCAATCAGACTCTATCCTGGGAATTTAAATCTTGGGCTGAATAGTTCATTCTAGCAGCTATACCCTGAAGAGCCTGTCTTTTCGTTCCTTGCTCTTGTTTGAATCCCAGAAGCTGTCCTTTCCTTGTTCTTAAAAATTTTTTTTATATTTATTATTGAGACAGACAGAAAACAGAGCCTGAGAGGGAGAAGGGCAGACGGAGAGGGAGACACAGAATCCGAAGCAGGCCCCAGGCTCTGAGCTGTCAGTACAGAGCCCGATGTGGGGCTCAAAACCATGAACCGTGAGATAGTGACCTAAGCCGAAGTGGGATGCTTAACCGACTGAGCCACCCAGGTGCCCCTCTTGGTCTTTCTCAAGGCCTGATTATTCCACTTTCACTACAGGGAGCTGCTCCAGATTTTCCAGAAAAGTCCTTCGCGGCTGACATCAGCTGGAGTCTATATTCTGTTACATGTAACCCAAGAACACGAATGGATTCTGAGCCCCTTGGTGAGTAACAGGTTCCAGGAAGGCCTGGGATTTAAAGGGCCACACACTAGGACGTCTGTAGTATAATGAATGAGTGCTGCCAATCACTGTGTTCTTCCCACAGGCTCGAATTGCGTCACGTGGGCCCGACACGTGCATTATCCCTCATCGGACGCTCACATCAGCTCTCTGCGGTAGGGGTTCTTGTAACTCCCATTTTCGAGAAGAGGAAATCAAAGCTCCGAGACCTGAGGTCACAGCTAGAAAGGGGGGGGATCTAGAATTTAAACTTGGAATCTGACTCCAGAGTCCACACTTACAACCACAAAACTGTGCGGCTTCTCACTCAGAGGAGGAGACTGGCCCAGCGCTGCAAGCAGCAGTAAGTCACATCAAGGGCGGGGGAGGGTCATTCTAACAGGAAGGGGACAAGACAGTGGCCTAGGGCCACGCTCAGTTCATGGATCCTTGAATATAATTTCTTTGGCTAGTGCAGTTACTTATTTTTTTAAAATTTGAATTCATTGCCAATAGTTTCAAACCAGGAGGTTTCTCTCTTTCCACCGCCCCCCCCCCCCCCCCGCCCGCCCCTACAAAGCCTAGGTCTGTACTCCTGTGTGCCTTTACCAACCGATCTGAGTAATGGCCACGTCTTCCACTACCACACTATGTCTACAACAGTCCCCACCTCCTTTAGTGATTAAAACAGCTAAAAATTCTCACGCCTGTATGTGGCAGGCACCTTCCTAACTCCTTTATGTGTACTGGCTCACTGAAGCCTCATAACAACTTCTACGACTCCTGGAGGTAGTTACTATGCTTATCCCCATTTTACAGGTAAGAAAACAGAGGCACAGAGAGACTAACATACTAAGATCACACAGCTGATGCAGATTTTGAATCTGGCTCCAGAGACTGCACCCTTAGCCTCTTCCTGGGCCACTCTCTCCCTCCTGCTCACACACGGGGACCATAGCCGTCTGCACAAAACATCCCGTACTTACCTGCTCTGACAAGAGTGCTTGCCAGGAGATAGTAATGAGATTCTCAACTCTGGATCTGATTCCATTTCTTTTACATCACTTTATTTATTTAAAAAAATCTTTTTTCAAATGTTATTTGAGGGAGAGAGAGAGCAAGCGAGAGTGAGCAAGGGGGGAAGGGCAGAGAGAGAAAACCGAATCAGAAGCAGGCTCCAGGCTCTGAGCTGTGAGCTGTCGGCACAGAGCCCGACGTGGGGCTCGGATTCATGAACTGTGAGATCATGACCTGAACCAAAGTTGGACTCTTAACCGACTGAGCCACCCAGGAGCCCCTGGTTACATCACTTTCGTTAAAGCCTCTTTCTTTCCGGAATCCCTTCTATGTGAGAAGCCTCACGGCAGATGTGGGACGGGTATGAAAGTTTACAGAAGGTCTCCTGCTCCTCGTTCCTTTTGACTCCTACAAGTCAAAGGGTTGGGGAACTTGTCCCGAGGTGTGTGAGGAACTCATCTGACTTGGAGACGCCGGGACGAGTCTCGGAGGGCATCTCATCTGCCAACATTCCCGCTCTCTGTGGCGCCCGAGATGAGTCCCGAGGCTCGGGACTTGGTGCTGAGCACAGAACCTTACCTGAACCTGCTCCCAATTCATACCTGCGCTTGCAACTAGAAGGTGGAAATTCCAGGCGATCAACTCTGGCTTCCCATCAGCACCCCTTTCCCCCACGCAGATTAATCTGGGGCTACAGGGAAAACCTAGACAAGATGAGTGGAACTCCCCAACCCCGAGGCCTTAAAGAAAAGTTTAGATAGATTGGACAGACCTCTGTTGCTACTAACAACCCTCAAAATGTCCGCAGGGAAAGGAAGGCTGAGAAAGAGTGTTTCTTCTAAATGGCTTCTCCAGTGTGGTCAAGGGAGGCGTGTGTCTGCATATGGAGGAGCCGACCTTCTAGGCTCAGAGCACCTTGACGGCCGCGGGCTCTCGGGAAGCTGTGGCCATCAAGGAGCTCGCTCTGCCCCCTGCACACCTCCGGTGCAGCACGGATGCTGCCCGCCCACCTGAGGATGTCTCTGCTTTACTGGCCTCTCTCTTCCACTCACCAGGCAGGGAGAGAAGGGGGGACAGAGCAGGGGAGGGAGAGTGAAAAGGAGGGAGAAGAAGGGAAGGAAAGGGGAGGGAAAAGGAAGGAAAGACGGACAAAAAGAACAAAGAGAAGAAGGGAAGAAATAACAGCCAACACGTAACGCTCTGCTCCAGGCTTCATTCTAAGCCCTTTTAACATATTTAGCTCATTTCAAAGGGTGGGTATTGTGATGGCTCCCCCCCCCCCCGCCTTCCAGATGGGAAGACTGAGGCCTGGGAGGTAGAGTCATGTGCTCCAGGTGGCTCAGCTGGTTAAGTGCTGGGGCCCGGATTCCTCTCTGGGGGCTGAGGCTCCAGAGCCTCGGCCCTGCAAGGAGGAGAAAGGTAGGGAAGCAGAGGGAGGCGGGCAAGAGCGCTCACCTGGAGAAGAGCTGAGACACACTCGGAGGGGCTGCCGTGGTGATGCCTGGAGGGAAAAGAGAAACGGGAAGGGCTTTAGCTGTCAGAGTGACGGTCCGCAGAAGCTGTGAGCTGAGACGCTTGCCTGGGTGGGAAGAAACTTGGAAAGCTGCTGCCAGGGACTTTCTCGACCACAGAAGCTCATGCGAGGCCCAGCATTTCAGCATTCCCTCCTCAAAACCCCTTTCTGGGTGAGTTTCGTCTCCGGATACTCATCGAAGGACGACATGTAAAGAGTCTATAACATCTTGAAACATCAGGGTGGAACCCTCCCCCTTCCCCACTGCACAGATGGGGACACTGAGGCCAAAGGGACAGAAAGGACACGCTCGACCCAGGTCCCGTCCAACTGGGACCTGGACCAGGTCTCCTGACTCCCAGGCTGGGGCCATTTCCACTGCTGGATGGAGAACCATTCCCCTCCGTGCCTCAAAGGCTGCCCCGAGGACCCAAGAACCAGACACCAGTTGGTTTTCATTAGCCCACATCCATTTCCCTCCTTCTGATGACATCATCTTGATGTTCTTCCTCTCCCTGCCCCAGTTTCAGTCCGTGGGGTTCAGGAGGGGCTGGCCCCAGCACTCAGGGGCAGGCGCATCCGACTCCTCTCCAGGGCTCCCGCTGGGGTGTAAGGAGGAAAACAGAGGGGCCCGAGCTCTTGATTGAACTGTATCTCTCGGCACACAGCATCCAGCCTTCAGTGGGAGACAATGATGCAAGAGGTGCCACAAAGCTGAGAGCGATATTTTCGAGAAGCTAATTTTATAAATGGACAGCCCACTGGGGACTGTGTTATGTCATCTTTAACAGCGCAACTCGGTGTCGTCGCCGTGAAGCCCGGCCAACACTAGATGACAGGTCTACTGACTGTACCGACTCCCCGGTGCATAGGGCAGTGCCTACGTGCTGGGTACGTGGCTGGGGTGTCCCCGTGCCTCCCGAGAAATGCTCTCAGGTCTCCAGAACTCTGAGCCTCTCTCAGCCCCAGGCTGGAGGCTCAGAACACCAACCTGCAACTCCAGCTCTTCCATGTAGTATCAGTGAGACTTTGGGCAGCTTGCCCAGAGTCTCTGGACCTCAGTGTTGCCCCCTGTGAAATGGGGGGAAATTGATCTCACAAGGAGGCATGCGGATTAAGACTGAAGACAATGACGATGTGCATCATTTACCCAGTGCTTGTGACGTGCCAAGCTCTAAGTGTGGATTTGTTATTATTAATCCCCATAATCACCCCATGACGAGTGTTCCTTTCATACCGCCGTGTTACAGATGAAGAGCTGGAGGCTTAACTAACTCACCCAAGGCCACAGGGCTCATCGGGGTGGATGTGTGATCTGAACTCAGGTCGTCTGGCTCCGGAGTTTTTCGTCGCAACCAGGGCACTGAGGCCCACAACGGCATCATCACCTCACCAGCTACGGGCACACACCCGGGAGGTCACTATGGGCCGGGCCCTGCGCTAACTGCCCACCTGCATGACCTCTCTTAGACCTCACAGCGGTGTTACGAGGGGGGTGGAGTCACCGTCCCCACGGTACAGATGGAGAAACTGGGGAAGGCTAAGGGCCCGACTCAAGCCGCACCGCCCATGGGCACTGGAGCTGGACTTGGACCCAAGCGCCCCGTGAGCCCCAAGCCTGTTCCCTGAACCCCCTCCCCCACTGAGTCAAATTCTGCTGGGTCAAAACCTCTGGGTCAAGGGTGGGAGTCCCAAAGCCCATTCAGAGAGCACCAGCTGTTTTTGACACAGTCAAACCGAATGGACAGTACCAGCATGGATGGCCCACGGTAAGAAGGGCTGGATGAGACTTTTGTGCCAGTTACAGGTGTGAGAATGTGCTGTGTGAAGTATGTGGGCACACACGTGTATGAGGAAGAGGAGTGTAACAATGTATTTTGTAAAATGTTTAGAGAGACAGAGCATGAGCGGGGAAAGGGGCAGAGAGAGAGAGAGAAGACACACGCAGAAACTGAAGCAGGCTCCAGGCTCTGAGCTGTCAGCACAGAGCCCGACGGGGTGCTTGAACTCACGAACCATGAGATCATGACCTGAGCCGAAGTCGAGCGCTTAACTGACTGAGCTAACCAGGCGCCAAGAACAGCTGTGGTCGAATGGCAAGAAAAGCCCCGGCACACAGTAGGGGCCCACTCAATGCCCTTTCCCTCGGTGGGGTCTGCTGCCCCAAGCAGGAGCTCCAGCACCCTGCCCTCGCCCTCCCCCAGGGCGAGAGGATGAACGTCTCATGCTGAAGCAGACACAGTGCTCGTTATCGGTAAAAGCCCATGATTTGAGTGCATTGAGTAATACCTAAGTTACTGAATTAAACATTTTGAATATGTTTTCTTAAATAACTATGTAAATATTCATAAAAATCACATCTTATGGAAACATTCCTATGGGCTCGGATGAACTTGGCGATCTGTAAATTTGAAGCATCTTTCTGCCCCAGCCTCCGTGCCGTGATTTGCATGTTTGCTTCGCTCCAGCTTCCTCTGCTCTGAATTGTTGAGTTACCTGCCTCCCCCACGTGGGCAGGTCTCCCTCGCCTGCTATGCAAGCCTCCCAGCCTCTCCCCTTCCCCCCCCCCCAACCCGCCCCCCAGCCACTCCAGGGGAGACTGTGTGAAACACAGGCTTTCAGTACACGAGATTCTCCTTCTGCAGACTTTTGAAAAACACAGGCTTTTATCTTTTTGGGCAGGTATCGTGTTTAACTTTTCATCCCAGGAGACTCGGGGGAATGAAAACCTGGAAAATGAGGACGTTAGGTGTGGAATGATCTCCGCTCCTCCCTGCCCTTACCCTTCTGCCTTTTCTCCCGGGAGCGTCGTGTTATGCCTCATTCCGGGTCCTGATGGGATGTGAGGGGGCGGGACTCCTAAGCTCCTCCCCCTCTTCAGGGGGCCTGGTGGGCTTGGGTCAAGGATGGTGAACTGCAGCGCTTTGGACGCAGCGGTGGGGCCTGGCCAGGAGCAGAGAGCTTCTCTCTCCCTCCGGCGCTCTTGCTGTGGTCCAAGGCCGATGTCCTCCGAGGTCACAAGGACCAGGAGGCCTGTGTGTAGCTGTAGCTACATGTCACCTGCATACTAGGAAGTGGGACCGACAGGCTGGTCCTGTGGGCAACGCCAGCCCCCAGGGGGAAGATGGAGTGAACATCACCGCTCAAGTCCTAGGGGACAACTGGGTCCTCGGGGTAGCCCAGGTGGTCTTTCAGTGAACTCCTGGATGCTTGCGTTACCGCTTTCCGAATGCCATTGTATTTGACCGCTTTCTCCGGATGCCGGTCAGGAGACAGACACGCTGCGGGCGGAGGTACGGGAGGCCAGGCCCTGAGCTTTCCATGCGGCCGGGAACCACCGTGCACCAGGCACGATGCTCTGCCCAGCGGCACGCCTGTGGTGCCACAGCTTGCTGGAGCTCGGGGGAGGGGGGGAGGGATGGTGGTCGCGAGTCCCCGCATGTTGGCGGAGTGTTCCAGAGCCTGGTGGAAGGGGCAGCAGGCGCACACGCGAGCTGGCAATCTGGGAGGAGGGCGTACCGCTCACCGTCACCCCAACACAAACACGGGGCCATCGGCACGAGGGGCAGGCGACCCCCGGACTCCACATCCCGTGAGCCCCCAGCATCTCCAGGGCGGTGAAAACACCATATGCAGCTCACTCTCATGTGGGGGGACCTGGAGCCCGTAAGATGGAGATGTGCCTCCATTGACCACAGCTTCGTGTTCTCGACCTTGTTAGTGCCACTGAACTTGCCATGCCGGATGAGGCTGAGGTCAGTGGAGGAATCACTGAGGGACACTTATGTCCACACTGCATGAGGTGAAAGCAAGCTGTAACGACCTGACCCGGCGCAGCCCATCTCCAAGCCTCACCACACATCTCGGAAGACGCGGCTGGTGCAGAAAACGACACAGCTAGCGCTCAGGTGGGGAGTGACAGGCAGCCTCCTCCATTTGCTTCTGAATTTAAAACTCTAGGCCTCCTCTTCCTCTCCAGCCTCCCATGGTTAGAGGGAGAAGGATTAAGTAAACAGACAGCCGAAGCCTCTGGAATGGGCTCACTCACTCACTCATTCATTCATTCAGTCATTCACTTACTCAATGCCCAGCATGCACCAGGCATGAGCTAGGATCGGGGTTCTAACAGTGAGCTGAAGCAGTCAGGAATGTCCTGTTTTGGGGGGAAGGTGAAGGGCAAATAAAGAATTACCCGAATAGGTACTTAATTGCAATTATAACACTTTGTACAGGAAGAAAGTGGATGGTATAGGGCAGGGCGACCGGGAACCTAACCTGCACAGGACTGGCCTGGGGGTCCAGTTAAAACACAGACTCCAGGGGCGCCTGGGTGGCTCAGTCAGTTAAGCGTCTGACTACGGCTCAGGTCATGATCTCGCGGTCTGTGAGTTCGAGCCCTGCATCAGGGACTCTGCTGACAGCTCAGAGCCTGGAGCCTGCTTCGTATTCTGTGTCTCCCTCTCTCTCTGCCCTCCTCCACTTGCGTTGTCTCTCCCTCTAAAAAATAAACACTAAGATAGAAATTGTAATAAAAAAAGAAAAGACAAGAAAAAAAAGAAAGAAAAGAAAAACGCAGACTCCAGGCCTTGACATGTGGCCCCCAGGAAATGACACTTTTGAGCCATGAGAGTTTACGCTACCAGCCAAGCAAGAACTGCAAACTATTAAAAAGTATCACAATTCCGGGTTCCTAACAGTAAATCTCCATTCTAGAAGTCACAAACTCAAATGCATGCGGGGCCCGGGAGATCACATAAATGAGCAAGGCATAAGACGCAATCAAGGCAACGAACGACAGGTCTGTGTGTGAGTGCACACTTCCATATGAGTGTGCGTACGTGTGATTGTGTGAAGGAACTCGGGCAGGGACCATCACACTTTGCTCATTCATTTGAGCATTTGTGCACCTACTGTGAGCCAGATCCACACCCCAAATCTCTGAAATATATCAACTTAATGTTCTCCCTCCACCCAAAGCACATGGGCTT